CGGAAGAGCTGTTGGAGTTCTCTTTCAAGTCCTCTTTCTCATTTCATGCTCTGTTCCTTTCATCCTCAGATTTTACAGAAAATATTCTTTCTTTTGGTTTTGTTAAGTGATCCAAACTTTAAACAGCAAGTGAGAAAACCTACCATTTTAGGTTAAGATAAGCATACAAAATCGCTGTATTTCAATTAGAGTAATAACCTTAAACAATTTTAAACCTCTATAAAATGTCACAAAAGCAAAATAAGTTGGCAGAGCGAGGCATTGACACTGATGGGTGCCCACAGAAAATCTCTTACAATATCATGTAAGGATTAACAGCTCTAATTTATGCAGTCACACAGATTTTCTTTCATGCAACTTCAGGAGAGATCTTGCCATCTGAATTGTCATGTGCCATTACCACCCTTTAATCAGGTTATTTCGTTTTATTTGAACAGCATCAAAGAAATGCTTATGACACAGGCAGACCGGTTCAGTCAAGAAGAGGTAAGGACCTTCTTCTTTATTCATAATAGAAATCTATCTCCAGCTACTATTCAGCAATAAGTATTTGCCCCTCTTTAAATGCATGAATTCAGCTGAAATCCAGACTGAGAGAAGTTTGATGCCAGCTCTAGCAATTAGGAACAATTCAAAGCATCTCTTCTGAATAGCTCCATGGCTAAATTGAAGTCAAACAGATTCTTTGGACTTCCATCCAAGTTTAAGCATGGCCTATCTCTTGCTGTTCTTTGCTATGGTGAGCTGGGCAATGAATTTACTAGAGTTCAAGTGGGTTTGGGTGGGGACTGTGATCTGGTTTCCATTTCTTGAGAGTTATTTTGTTTGAAATCTGAAATGAGTTCTGAAATGAGGTACTAACTTTGTGGTTTGTGTGAGACTGAACATGGACTCTGCTAGCTGGGAGGAATTTAGAGAGACTATTTTCAGAAGAGGAGCTTGAGTGGAGTTGGTTCGTGGCAAGAACAGACTGGAGTGCAGACTGAAGTACATTATTTGGCCAGGGCTTACCTGGATTTCAGGGAGAGCTCTTTTTGACAGGGAACTTGTTGGGATTCTAGTGGGACTGTGTTAACTAGGTGTGTCCTAATTCCTATTTCAATTTTACTGAAGCTAAAGAAAAATTTTCCATAGTGGTTAACAGATCAAGGCAGAAGGGAGCCGAACTGGGTTGAAAATGAGAAGCAGTACATGTTGTTGTCCCACAGTCCTATGTTTGTAACACTTATCTCCTGTTTGCTTGGCAGATCAACCAGATGTTTGCTGCTTTCCCTCCAGATGTCTCTGGTAATCTTGACTATAAGAACCTCTGTTACGTTATCACCCATGGTGAGGAGAAAGACTAAGAGGAAAGAGATGAGCTTCTCCTGTGATGATGCACCAAGTTATTTCATAATGCTTTTGTGTGCAAGACAAAGGGCTAAACATTCAGTATGTGAAGCCATGTGGTCATCAGAAGAGAACCAATAAAACAATTGAAATTAGATTAAAGTTATTTAATGCTCCTGTTTTTATAAAAGATGAAAATACCAATTTTGTGAGTTTTTTCCCATCCTTTCTTTTTTCTGTCAGTGGTTTGAAATGGAATTTTCTTGATGAACTGGTGCTTTTGTGATTTATTGACAATCCTAATGTTCACCAGATGGTCCATTGGGCACTGCAGTGTTGCTTAACCTCTTGTATTTTATACATAAATATTGTATTAATTGAGAAATCCTCTAACTTAATGCACCAGGAATAGTATTTGGTAAATAGAATTCTGTTCCATTTCACAGCCCCTAGCAATGAAAGTGTAAATAAAACAATCTTAAGCTCTTGTGAATATGCAATGTGCCCTCTCCATCTCAGTGATGTGGCCAGTTTCATAAGCCATTTGACCCATTTGCTTTGATGCAAAAGAACAGAAATAGTGGAATAATGGTTATTTTTCTCATAGTAAAATTTACCTAGGTGCACTTGGAAACCAGTAATAATGAATTTCTCCCTTCAGAGGTACCTTTATTACGTGTAGGAGGTTGACCATGAAATAACAATAATGCCTAATCTTTCACCTGCTGGTCATGAGCCCTGTTTTACAGATGAAGCACACACTGGAAGGATGTGTTTGCCAAAGATTGTTGAAACTCTAGAGACAAAGATGAGAAAAGAATGCAGGAACTGTAGGCCAGGGTTACACATGAAAGCAGACTACCTCTCACTTTTATAATCCAAGATCAGTGTAGTTTCTAAAATGGGCTAGAGTTTCTTGTATTTGGACTTCTAGGAACTGGACATATTCTGCCTATGTGGAATATTGCATGAATACTTCCTGCGTGGGAGTCAGAAGGATGTTGCAGCCAAAGTAAAACAAGCTTCTGCTGTTTTAACAGCTAATGGAAATGGTTTCCTTTTGCATCAGTGTTGTTGGCACCACAGTCCCACAGACATTGAGAGGAAGTAACAAGCCTCTTATTTTCTGTTTCCAACTTAGTCTTTGTAGAAAGAAAACTTGAGGGCAAGATGTCAAATTCTGCCCTCATCAGGAGGGGAAGAAATTACAACAAAAAGCTTTAGCATCTGCATGACTTGGGGATGTGACATTCACCCTCACCTGCATTTTTTGTTGATCCAGTAAAACCCTGCACTCAGTGCACTTCAGTAACATAGAACAACTGGAATAAGAAGGGTCTTAGCAGACACAAGTTGATATAATAAATATCACCCCTTGCCCCTATGTCCAGAAGCGCTATGCATATTCCTGGAACAGCAATGTTTTTCTAGTATAGATAGGCGATTCCCAATTGTATCTACCAGTAATTCTCTCTCTTAAAAATATTAGTGGACACAGCTAGAAGCAAAATCCAGCCCTTTCTTGAATGAATCTTGCTGAAGATGTGGAGAGGGCTTTAGCATTTCTTGCTGTACATTCCTGTAACGTTTGAAACAATGCATGGTCACCCAGACCCATCCCTCCCACCAAGGTCAGCTTGACTGGGCTTTGGGGACTAGTAAAACTTCATGCAACGCAAGAGTCTACAGGACCTCTTTTACCACCTCATGGCTTATTCACTAGAAGTTGAACTTTCCTGTACAAGCGCAATTCTTACCTGTGTTTCATATGATGGCTCTTTTCTCCCCAGAATGTGTTTTTCTTCATAGGTGTATGACCACTGCTTATGGGATGGAATTGTAGATAGGCAATGGGAGGTCATGGAGGTAGAGGATTTTTGGTGACACAGTAGAAAAGATGATTTATTGCAGACCCAAACAAGTGATTGCACTTCTCAGCAAAGAAAGGAGCTGCTTATGGGAGAGGGCTGCAAAATGGATGTTTCATTTACAGACTTCATTTGGAAACTGCTTGAGTGATGGGGCTGGAAAATGCTCTTGTATGGCACAAACACACGTGCAAAGTTTAATACTGCCTCATATGAGCTCCACAAAACCACGTACCCAAGCAAATGAGTACTGACTGTTCCAATAATATGAGCTGAAGTCACTCAGGCATCAGATGTCAGATGGTGCTTATGGTTTTTGCACTGTTTAAAGATTTCACAATGAGACTGAAGACTAGATAAAATGGCATACAGGCTTACTTTTGGCCTTCAATCTAGAGAGGTTTATTTTTCCTCAGGCAAGCTGGTAAACAAAAACTTTGGGGATAGTGCTCTTGAAAGATGAGGTCACATTTTTGTACCAAAGCATACACACTTTTTCATGGGTCCTTTTCATCTGTTACTGCCTAGTTACATGACTTCTTCAAGGGCAGTTCTGTGGCCTCTTAGGCTGATGGAAATCTGGTCTGAGCAGTTCCACATTCTCCCCTTCCCCTGACTGCACACTCCCTCCCTCCCTCCCTCAGGTCAGCGCTAGAGCTCATATACACACATCAGGTGCTAACTGAGAAGAAACCTTCTTGCTCTTCAGTCACATCAGCTCCCTAAATTTTCTTGCCTGTCTGCAATTGTCAGGGCCCTGAGTGCACTAACAGGCCTTAATGGCCTTGACAAGTCTCACCTGGAACCTCCACCCACACCTGCTGTCTGTGGGCCCAAAAGCCCCATTTAAGCTCACTCAGCCCAGGGCCTTCAAATGTTTCTTGAGTTATGCTTTTGAACATACATTACTCTTGGGATCTTCCATAGCACTGTGGACTTACCTAGCAATCACTGAACTGTGTATGACTCTAGTAACACTGGATGTTACCCTGATCTGCAGCTTGACTTTTCAGCTTGATCTTGGACCTGCCTCATCATCATAGACTTGCATGATGATCTGGAACCAGACTACCATCTTTGGGCTTGCCTCGATTGGATATTGGTGAGGCTGCTTTCCTGTGGACCACGTTACCATGCCCTGCTGCTCCCTAGCAGGTGTAGATGGGGCAGGAGCATGAAGCTGTGGGGAGGATGGAAAACAGGACCACCTTAATACCGATTAAGTTGAGCTAGGCTTTGACTAGATGAGCAATTTGGTTTGGAGCTGTGCAACTTTGAAGCAAATCACTTGATTGCCCCTACTTACCTTGAGCAACTACGTAGCTTTTTTGGAGGAAGCGAAACCAAAGGCTTTGCTTGAAATTTAGTCCAAATTCCTGCCAGTTACTGATGGAGACCAAACCAGGGTGCAGGCTGTGTGGTCCTCCAGCAGCTACCAAATGTTCATGCACCAGCGCTCTCATGACACTCTCAAGTGGTTTGTGGGCTATATAAAGCCCCAAGTTACACGAGACTCTACCTGTTTGCCCTCAGTTTTTTTGCAGTGCTGCTGCTCCTTCACCTTGGTGCACTTTCCTCTTTGTTCAAAATCCATTTCTCATTTTTTTCCTGTCTGCTTCCCCAGAATTACTGTACTTCAAAGGCAGTGCAGCAGATATGTGCCTATGACACACTGCTTGAAGAGATCTTTGGGTTGGGGTTCACCACCAAGCTTGTTGTTCATTTGGACTTCTGCACTTTGGACTCTTGGACCATCATGCAAGAGAATTTGGAGCTGTAACCCTCCCCTTGTATAAGGGGGAAGGACAGATGTTCAGATAAATATAATGAAAACATTACAGGCTTGTTCTAAGACTTTATCAATCCCAATTTCATTTCAATCTCCATTTTTATTTGGGGACATAGAGCTGTGCTTATGGGTTTTGGATGTAAATTCAAATAACTAAAGGGAACAAAGAGCTGAGGTTAATTCCACAAAAACAGATTCTTACCAAGCATCATTAAAATGATCAGATGGGAATTGAACTTGCATGAACCCTGGCAGTTGCTCTTTAGTGTCAGCCCTTTCACAAACAATTATTATTTGGAGGGGAAAAAACCAAAGAAACAGTGTAGAATTGATAATAAGTTTTATTAACTCTTAAAGGTTTAATCCTGTAAACCTTTGTGAATGGGTAGAGCAGCCTTTGAAATACACTGTCATAAAAGGCAGAGAAAGGTTCTCATGTGTTTCCCCCAGCTTGTTGTTCTGCTTGGAGGCAGGATCGTTGTTAGAAATGTTTGTCTGACCTGTCTAAACTTTCTAGGTAGCCTCAAGTCCAAAGCCAGCCTTACATTTATGCATTTTTTTCCCCTACCATCTAATCTAAATCTTTCTGTCTGCAAATTAAGCCAATTTCATCCTTTGCATCCTCTTTGTAATGAATGTTAGCACACTGGAAGACTGTTTAGTTTTCTTTTTTCCAACATGCTTTTTCCAACTTTTCCTCTCAGCAATCTTTTCTACACTTATAATTCTTCTTGCTCTCTTTAGGATTACCTTAAATTTGTGCATATTTTTCTTAAAACATGGTATGCCAAGTTGGACGCAAAATTCCAGCACCAGCCAGATGGAGTAATTATTTCAGAGGTTGGTTATCTGTAAAAAAACCAAACAAACCAAAAAAGCCCCCTGTGATTCAGCAGCAGTGAAGGTTATGTATATTTCTTGGGAATGTGGGGAAAAGTTTATTCCAGACCTCTCTTTCTTAGTAACTGCTTGCTTCTGATCCCACTGCAGCCTGTTCTATCTATCCCAGAAACTTCCTTGGATCTGATTCTCCTCTGCCTCTGTTACCTTGATAATGTGCCAGCATGGGTTATCTAAGGACATACCTTCAGTTTTCACTAATGTTAACAAGGTGCAGATTGTCTGAAGTATGAGTTTTTCTATGTGAAAATGTAATGCCAATACTGTTTAACATTTTCATTAATGACCTGGATGCTGGGACTGAATACAACAAATCTGTACTCTTCCCAGTGGTGGCACTGACAGGATGAGAGGCAATGGGCACAAACTGAAATGCAGGAAATTCCATTTAAATTTTCTCACTATGATGGTGGTCAAATATTGGAACAGGTTGCCCAGATAGGTCATGGAGTCTCCATTGCTGGAGACATCCCAAACCCACCTGGATATGGTCCTGGAAAACTTACTGTAGCTGATGCTGTGCTGAGCAGGAGGTTTGGTCTAGACTATCTCCAGTGGTGCCTTCCAACTTCAATAAATCTGTGGTGTTATGTATGTCAGCGTTGTTAATACAGCCCCAATGCCACAAGCCTTTTACTGGGTTGACATATGATCAATCTGTGCTGCACTTTGAACCTCAGATCCTTTCCTGAGGAACTTCAGCCTAACCAATTACTCTCCAAATTTTACTGGTGCCTTTCTTCTAACATGTAATGATCTGCACTGATCTTCAATTCCTTCTTGTTGATTTTCTATCTCCCCTTCAGTTTAAGGCTGTTCTGAATTCTATCCCTGTCCTCCAAACTCCACATAAATTGCCTTGGCTTACTGTCCATCATCCACAAAT